TTTTGAAAACAACACATTCTACCCCTTGCTAAATCCCCCCTTAATAAGAGTGTGGCAGGCCAAAGATTCTTAAAGGGACCGCTGCAGGCCTGACAAGTACTTTGGTGCCAGGCAATTTTCTTGGGAAGATTGAGAAAAGATTCGATAACTGGGTAACACATTAGACAAAGCAATTTGTCTGGAATTTTTCTGAAATTGCCAGATCATATGCTATTTAAGGGCATATTTTTAGACAAAACTAATACTTCAAATTGTGGTTAGAATTACATAAATAGCTAAAGCAGAATGTAAAGCTCATGAAACCTTAGTGACATATGCTGCCATTAATATTTTCAAATACTTTTCAATAATAGTTGTGACTATAACTTTGTTGCTTATATCTCTAAATAACCAAGATTTATTCTCTAAATTTTGCGTATTTAGTATCCATGACTTATCACTAAGTGTTATATCTAATGTTTTATGATAAATGTATTTTTACAATGACTATGAAAATTATTTATCACTATTATATGTACACTGAGAGCTTATGCACCGGAGGAAATTCATTGTGTGTCACACTTGGCCAATAAGGAATTATAATTTTAATTCTAAACCAATTATAGTTGTCCCAGTGATTATTGGCATACTGTGACATATCAAAAATTTTGGATAGCATTTAGGAAATCTGCACTTTGACAATTTTTTTATCAATCATATCAACATAGAACAAGCTGCTACAGTATGTATTTAGGATCACTGGCATATTTACCATGGGATCCTTCATTAACTCTGGCAAGTCATTGATATATAAACTAAATAATAATGGGGCCAGGATACCCCTTTATTTGTGTGAATCCTGTTAGTCATAGCTCCATTAACCCCATACGGCATCCTAAAACAGGTACTTGTGTAAAGGGCTTTAATCAAAGCCAGCAGCCTAGATTATATTTTAAGAGATGTCAGTTTACTCCATGGTATTTCTCTGTTTACCATATCAAACAATGCTGTGAGGTCTACAAAAGCAGCAAACAGGAGTCTCCTCTTATAGACATATTTGGCAATTAGATGGTTCAAGATCGCATGTGCGAGACTAAGATGGCTGCTAGGCTTTTTCACCCTGAATTATCTGGGTGAAAAACGCTGAAAAATCACTGAGAAACAACTTTACACCAGCCAAAAAAAGGGTCACTCGGGATGACCAAGATCCAGAGGACCCGAGGAGACTGGACAGCTGTGGGGGTCACCGCTTTGGGGCGGCCCCGGACCATGCGATCTTCAGCGGCTTCTGCGTTATCTCTGCCGCTTGGTGACGAAGAGGGCAGCCCCACTCTGATAACAGCGGCGTTTTTCGGCGATTCTAGCGATGGCTTTGCCTTTCTGCCCTGTTTGTTTGCAGCGGTGAGCCTTTGGGAGTTTCCTTTGGCTGTTTTCCCCCCACAGAGGAGACTTTTGAACTGGGCTGTCACCGGGGTTAGACGAACCGAACGGCGGGTTTGCCATCGCCGCCGCAGCCTTTCCCCCCCTCCCCTCCCCCCCTCACGACAGCTGCATTGCGCTTCGCCTTGAGGAAGGGGTGG